AATCCTATTATTTTCCCAGTTATTGTTAGGATATTTTAGTGGAATGTGCACATAAACGGTTTTTAATCTTTCAAATAGAATACACCAGAACTGATTGGATTAGGATATCAATCGTCAGGTTTAGACATTAAACGAGAAAGAAACTATCAATGAGACCTACAGAAATGTTTCTGACCTGATGCTTTCAGGGTCCCGAAAGTTTTTTTCAGGGTCCCGAAAACTGATGACTAATGCACAATAGCATAGCAAACTCAGAAATCGAAGAAAAGATACCATACATGAGTACCTAAGGTTTCTTTCCCGAAAACGTTATTTCAAAGATGTCGTGCTGTTCAAAAATTATTTTTTCCAAACTGGCAATCTTTTGCTCTTGTAATCGAGTTTGCGACAAAAAAATACTCACTTAAACTGATGGGTTCTATCCAGTATGATTCCAAAAAACATGCTTCCAATACAACCACCGGATATTATAGTAATCAGTGCTATTATCCCAGCATCAGTCTTACCATTCTACAACAGTTCGATTCTATTTAGTCTACATGGGCGTCTACTGCAATAAACTAACTGGGAAATAGTTGAGATATATAGAGTTCAGTAGCACTCCGAAGGAGTTCCAAACCCCATTCGCCAATCCTAAGGATAGGACAATATACCAGAAATTCGCATTTTTAGCGACGTTTTTCATGTGAGTGAAAAACGTTGCTGTAGTTCCATTGCTGCTGGCCATTGCCAGGAGATTCAGCTGCGATTGGCTTGGAGGCAAACTGGGACTCGACCTGAAAACTTCCATTATGACTTAGCAAGATTTATCAAAACCAGAAATGTTCATACTCCAGTTTGCTTACATATTGCAACCACACCAAATATGCAGCCAGTTATGATGGCTTGATATAAAAACATATTGAAAAGCTCTTGTCCCACTTCATCTACTTCTTCGCTTCTTACAATGAATGGCGATTGCACGCAACCTAAAGCGGAACCTACAAAATCAACTGTTTGCATCAGCATCTGGCAAATGATTTAAATAAAACCAACCAAGTTGCATTCCTAAAACAGCAATAGCACATGCTGTGGACACTTCTTCGGCTCCAAACCAGGTGGTGGCAAGCTTTGAGGGTAAACTGCAGATTTGAACCTGCCCAATGCCGATCAGAAACTGAGCTACTAAGACCACCCAAATGCGATCCGAAGTGGAAGCAAGCAGTTTCAGCAAGTTTCCTACCAGTGTTAATCCTGTAGCCACCAGGATGGTCAGTTTAAGTTTCTAAAAGATCACAACTGATTTTAATAAAGCGAGTGTTGATTTTGCGTCTGTTACTGCCAACTTACGTGTTTCTCTATCAGGAAACTGACGGGGTAGAAGAACAAGATGTAGGAAAGGAAAAATATTATCGTCGTGAAATCAACTAAGTATCCCGGCACATTGTAAAACCTACAAAACACTATTTGAAATTGTATTTGTGGCTAGATTTATTTTATTACTTGGTCATGGTATCAGCAATGATGGAAAACTGGAGCAGTTGCATGAAATTCACCACAGAGACTAATACAAATATTGTTACGATCACCCATCTGTATTTGAAAACGCGAATTTCGTTAACAGATTGAGTAGAACTAGCAGTTGATTGCAATGGCATCTTTGATGGTGCATCTGAGTATGTCTATTTGTACTGAAAAAAATGAAATATGATTGCAAATTAAAAAAAAAACAGATGTTAATGAGGAGACCCAAAGAGCGTAAGAGGTTTTAAGGTCGATAGAATCTGGGTCTGCTCAGACCTGCACGGTGTTCCATAAAAATCTAATTAAATTTTCCCTCACCACAAAAAGTCTGGCATTGTAATTAGAATGAAAAAAAAGGTAAACTTTGTTTTAACTTTGCGTTTTTCTAGGTCACATGTAATATCACTTTAACAGTTTTTAAAGCCATCTAGTTTTGTCGTTTTCACATCTTAGAATGAAAACGTATATCTACATATTTATAGAAACGCGAATAACGCTCTAGAGGCCTTTAACGTAGTAGAAGCAGCCGTAGAAAATGCATTGCGGTTTTATTGTTTTTACTGTAACCTCGGGGTTGAAACAATAAACGATGCCGTATTTGAAGTCCCAATCAGAAATCTTTTGTACCCGTTAAAAGCATCACAACAAGGCTTACTGATAAGCCACATTAGTGATATATTTTAACCATCTCGAAGGTGAGACTTGACAAAAGATTGGTCGAGACGCAGCCGAAGTCCCGCAGATTCGGGGCGCCATTTATCAGCTCCCTGTTTTCACAAAACGGATTTGGCTATTTTCATATACGCATTGTGGTAAATTGCGCACGTTCAGTAGGAAGTAGAAAAAATAGCAAAAAATAGAAAAAATAAAGTAATGCGCCAGTGATGAACGCAGCACATCTGAAACAAATTGAGACAATAACATAACAACAGTTTAATGAAATTGCTACAGAAACTTTTAAGCCATAAAAAATTTTGCCAGTCGAATGAAAAAGTTTTGAAAATTTGTCAAATTCGCCTATTTTCTCTCTACAACAACCAACCTCCCTCTAATCAGCACTGTAAATAAATTTCTAATTTAAAGCGGAATTTATTAAATAACTTGTTAAGTATGTGTGGTGTGGCTAACATCTTCAGATATTTTTGCTTGGTGCAGCATGCACCAACTATTGATAAGTAAACAAGACATCATTTCTGCCAGACTATTTAAAAAAAAACTAACTTTTTATTGGAAAATTACGAGAACTTGTTCATGTGAGAATAAGGAATTTCTAAATAAAACAGGAAGTTTATTTTGCATTTTTGAATATACCAGTGGCGCGACGAAAAAAAGTTCTAAGGGAACAGCGAAATACGGCTGCTTACCTAAAATCCTATCACCTCCACAGTCCCACAATTATTCTATTAAAAATTCGAATTTTAAGTTCTCTAGGTCGGAGTTGAAATCTTGAGGCTCCCAATTCCAAAACAAACCATTAAAAGTTACCCTTCTCTTATTATTTATAAAATTTGATAAAACCTTGTATACTTTGAGTTGTAAGTTAGACTGCTCGGCCAATTTTAAATATTCAGCAAATGTTATCTCTGGTATCTGAAATACATTTTTTTAAATCATTTTTGCGCTTCAATAATGGCCAGTTTCAAATTGCTGCTATGGTCAGTAATCTTCTTTAGTCTGAGCTGCCGCACGCTCATACATAAATAACACTTTACTCCACACGTTACTATTATCGACTTACCATTAATAACAAACTGATTATGTTGTCAACCAATCACACTAGAAACTAATATGTTTGAAATTGGTGATGAACAAAACAAGTTGCTTATTCAGACTTGCTAAACCTGATCATTAGCGTTCGTTTGAAGGTAAAATATAAACAATTCTAATCAACGATAATGATTATTGTGTCCGAGAATATGTTCATGACAAGTGGAACCAAACCATGCGAATCTAATTCTGAATAGTTCTCACAGATAATAATTCTATATTAAATTCGACTCACATACCAGTCTTCACACTTCAGGTTCTTCCAAGTGTTACTAAATACAACAGGTGGAACTGAGAAATGCGTACTTTCTAAGTGTTTCTCATATGTAGTTAATCTTTAAGATAAACGATTTTCAAATATATAGTTTCTATTGCGGTATTGCAATATTTAAATCGGTTTCGAATTGAATCGGTTTAGCGCGAAAGCAACTGATGAACTCAATAAAAAAGTGCGTTTTACTAAAGTTTTACGTGGAAAATTGACTAATTGCCTGTGATTGCCTGTTATATGACCGACAGATAATTATGTTAATGAATCTGTACAGCGAATACCTGGAAACATGTCTGGGTAAATAAATAATTAGACATTCAATTTTAATAAAAAATATATTTTTCTGATGAAACTTGGTAATTGTAAAAAGTGTATTTTTGATCAATAAACAACTCTGAAAGCTTGAAGACAATGTCTACACACTCGTTAAACGCTCTGTTCGTTACACAAAGTGTTTACTCAGTTCTTGTTCAATTCTTTCAGTATTTAGCACAATCGAGGTGCATTCGAGCCTTTTAATTATTTTTTAAACTTTGTAACTTAAAATTAAAACGTGAGATCCAATATAGTAATGTCCAAAATATTATCAAGAAATTTATTTATTTTTGGCTATATTCGTGTCCGTAATTGAAAGCAAATTCGTTTTCCATCAATTGATCATTTTCCTCATGGAAACTTTTGGAAAATTTGCTCGAAGATAGTAAGTGAAGCTCTAAAATAGAAACAAATCTTTACAGATCGGTATTTTAGAGTAACATAACTGCTCGTAGGTAAGACTCTACTGTTTATGTACAATAAAATTGTTATGTTGAAGTGCAAAAATTTTTTCAAAATACTTCTGTAAAGCACAACATCGCCCCGCCTTCTTCGCAGCTCTGTCAAACTTACCCATGTTCGAAATGCTTTAATCAGTAGCACACGGCATCAGCGCAATGTCACGAACGTCAGTTGGACATTTTAATTGCTCAGTGAATGTTTTTATTTTGATAATTTTATCCTCCAAACAATTAACTTAGTGTTTAACCTTGTGGATAAGCAAAAAAAGAACTATTACAGATCATTAATGAATGACAAGTGTGGGTTTCTGTTAATGAACATTATTATTGGCGTCTAATACAGGTATGTGCAAAATTCCTCTTGCTAAAAGGCTAACTTTCGATTTTTTCGGGGTGTTTGAATACCAGAGCTGCAAATATCTTCCCGTCGAAGCTCTTGTGGTATTTGTAAATTCTACTGTATGAAAGGATTGCAACATGCCACAAATTCGTGGATAACACGCGTAGTTTACAGAAGTTACCATTGATAAAGACAGGAAACTCCTAAGTAGTTTGGTCTCATTGTGTGAATTTGCACGCGTTTAAGTGCAATGTAAACGAAATAAGACTTGACTGCAGAAAAGCGCACAGTACAATTTACTGAAAAATTAAGCCAGTATGTAGAATAGAATCCTCCAGAACATATGTACACTTTAACGTGCTTTATTTTCGATAAGCCCAAGGGAACATACCAGTCTACAGTACCTATTTAAAAATTTCAATGTTCTGTATATGCAAAATGTGATCTAAAGGCTACCTATTTTTCTTTTCCAATTTCTGACACTCATGGCTTATCTTTAAGTAGTTGTCTTGTTTGTATTTCGACTAACTAACGTTCTGAATGATATTGATAATTTTGATAATAATAAAGCCCACATCTTAATAGCAAATTTTTTGTCCAATTAATTAAATTAGAGACAAAACAATAATGTAGGAGAATATCGAAGCCACTCATTTTATCACTGAAATTGTGAAGAAATCAATCAGGTATTTTGCTGATTTAACAGCTTTTTATTTACACCAGCTACTTTACATACCAATAAACATGATAGATTTGCAAGCAATTTCATATTGCCTATAAAATTTTCCAGACGACCGCACAATGGCTGATAATAAACGTTGACAATCGAGTCATAAAAACTAATAATTGCGAATTCTTTTTAATTACATGGCTGCTAGTAGTGGCTTGAATCTTAGACAAATATTACCTTGCGCTGATATGAAACTCTTTCAACATCGTCTTGTTGAAGTTTGCAATAGTATTTTTTCCAACTTGAGGTTTAATCGCGACACTCTTTCTTATGTGTTCAGTTAAAAGTATCTCTCTGATCGATCATTCCGTTTTGTTTAGTAATACCTGTTAAGTGATTAATGTTATTCTAGATAATGGAGTGATAAAAGGTTGTCTGATTAGCTTTATCGTGCCAAATCGTAGGACATCTGCGTGGATGCTAGATAAACGTAATCATTCGCCGAAATCTTGTGCTTTCATTATTTTTACCGTCTGACGAACTGTACTTTAAACGAGTTTAGTTGATTTTTTCCTATGAACTGACCATGTCGCATAAAGCGAGTCGAAGTGATAGTCATGAGGTTGGCTACAAACCAGTATCGACGAAATGGAAGGATATACCATTTCGAAGTAGAAGTAGGAATTCTGAGGTACCTACCTAATTTAAGATCTAGTGTGAAGTTAAGGGTTGGATTAGAAAACCAAACAAACATGCTTCTAGGACATTTTCAAAGACGCGATAAGAATTGTAGCATTTCTTTCCTTGATGTATTTAGTTTATGCAAACTCACCGTTAACAATACACTTTGGGGTCAGCGAGGAATAACACGCCTATTTTTATCGACAAGATCGGTGATTTACCAGCATCGGAAACATATTCTAATGACGAACCACGTTTAACTGCCGAATTAGTCATAGGAAGTTCACAGGTTCTGTTGAAACCATGATACAATGAATACATTAGTTAGTATTCATTGTATCATGTGTTGAAACTGACGCATTTTTGCAATCACACTTCTTCCATCAATACTAAATATTTTTTGTCAATTCAAATTGTGTGAAAATTCTGCTAAAATTGGTTTGGAGCAAACAATTCCTATGCTTTAATCGTTAGAACACTGAAACAGTCTCATGATAAATACGCGAAACGGATAGGAACATGAATAAATATTTGTGAATTCAAGGAAAATTTTGCGCTAAGTCCAGATCAAATAAATCAGTTCCACACAGGATTCCATGAATACGCACCGTGGGAATAATTTATAAGTACCCCAAGAATACAATTCACATTATTTTTATCTCTGCTTATCAATCATTTCTACACCATTCCAGTTCAAGACTGCCTTGTTTTCCCCCATAGATTTGTCACAAATTGACTACGTACACTATTCAATGAATAAGTGTTATCAGTCGTTAATGTTTTGATGTTGTACCATTACATGTAAATCTGCCAGGACATTTAATTGCGTCTATTAAACGAGAATGTTAATTGGCCTGATTGAATGAATTGGAAATGTCCAAAGGATCTAGTTCGGGAAGTTTATCGAGTGTTGAACGATTGAGTGATCGAACCCTCAACTCTAACAATACGAGAATCAACGAACGTATTCCCATTATCCTTCGCAGACCTACTAGTTATGGCTCCGTTTTTCCGTACTTTCACTTCGTTAGGGCAAGTAATGGCAGATATGATTCCAATCAGGTATGAAATGGTTGCACTTGATAATACATTGAAAAATTGTATTTTCAGAAGAAAATATTAAGTTAATTAATTGGTGGTTGCAGAGATTTTTTTGGGAATCAAGGCGTGTGTTCTCTTGGAAGTTTATACAATTTAATTGCTCCTTAAAGGATGGTTCAAATGCGTTTAATTCATGCAAGTGCGAGGTGTGATAAATTTGCCTAGAGACGCTTGAAGAAACTTACTTGTCTCTCCCAAGTTTTCCCCAATGCATCCTCAATGTTTTTCCCCGTCATCCATTAAAGCAACGAAATTGACTTGAGGAAAAAGGGATGTTTTTAGTTTGTAATCCAGTTTTTTGTAGGAGCTTTCATCGTGGCAAAGCCGATCAATTTTCATAGCTTGCGGTGAAGAACAAATATTATATTTGCAGCTTATCTCTCTCCGCTGAAAAAAAATCAGTAATCAGGTCATCAATTTATGTATAGTATTTCTTGTCTTCTTGAGTTGCTTGCAAAATGACGACAGTAATTAATTAGTTGATACAGTGCGTTACATTAAACATTGTTAAATTAAGACTGCAAACCTTAGATACACAACTAATTTCTATTTGTTTAATGCAAATTTACCCATCTTGTTATTTAGGGCTTGAAATAGCACATATTTACAATTTCTCTTGTATGTGTTGCGCGAAAGTGTCATTAACTTTTATTGCATCTATCTAGCTCAAATATTTGATATCGCCTTTAATTGGTTTAATTATTTTCATCTGATTGCGCTGGATCGGTAGCTTACTGAATAATCTGACTTAGTCAGTAGTGGTCGTGTGATTTAATTGATATGGCTAAAGCTTTGAGAACCCGCATTTTTTCCAACCATCATCAGGTATTTAGTTATAATTAATTAGGAAAACTGATCATCAAGTCAATAATTGCTTTTTAGCGCAGTTGTTGTTTTCATGTCTCACATTCAATGAGATTCAAACGCATTCAATGTGGAAAAGCGAATTAGTATTTCAAATAATTTAAATTCGCTTGGCAGCTGCGACTAATTTATAATTACTCATATTCCCGGTGATACTGAAAATAGTACATTAAAATGAACGTCATGCGACCAGAGAACATAAATAAAAAATAATATGTTATTTCAATAACTTCTTTAAGGTAATAACATTAAATGTGGATAAATCCCGGTCTTTTAAATGGTGGGCGTTATGTGACCAGCACTGGCATAAAATGTATTATTGTAGATTTTGCAACTTGTTTTTTTTTTATAGTAGTTAGACAATGTTTTGCAAATATCGGCGGGTTTTAAATTTTTGCTCTCATGATGTTGGGAACAAACTACTGTCGCATATTTTAGGGGTAAGTTGACAAATTTGGGAAAGTTTCACCCGGTACATCGCCAGCTACTTGGATAATTGATTAATGAAAAAAAATGTTTACTTACTTTGTTCTGAACATCGCATATTCAATTTCTAAGGCCAACATTTTATGGCAATCGACGAATGAATGAACTGATATTCATCTAAATTGATTTTTTCAATACCGAATTATCTACCAGCGCGTTGCAGAAAGCAGTCGTTTTTTGCATACAAGCAACATATTACCATTGAAACAGTGCAGTTATTAGTTGGTTAAATGTTTACATGTCCATTTAGTTAAATCGAATGTGTTAAGAGGGAAATCATTCGGTGCTTGATCGCATGTAAGTAGTTTATACCGGATTCTGAAGCCCATTTTCAATTGCATATTGCTATAAGTATTAGGATATGGTTAAGAGTGGAAAAATTGGAAATTTTCGTCCTGGTTTTTATATAGAAATGTTCAGTTTTTTAGTTGGGTATTTAGTCAAAGTTTCTTATTGTACGTTTCAGTTGTTAAGCGAGATCAGATGAAAACAAGCATGTTTTTTTTGGTTAAATTTAATGCAAATATTTTGAAGAAAAAAAAATGGTTTGTGTTCTTTCAGAATCGTCCAAGAGTAAAATATTTTCAAAATGATCATCGATAAATACATTTTCAAACCTCTTAATTTTGCGGTTTTGTGTAATTAAAGTCTCTGCACCTATTAATTTTGAGGATTGTTGATCTTCAGTTACCAATCAATTAGATTTTTCCGCCTTATTATGAACGTTTATTCTACTTGCAGTTGCATGAAAACCAAAATGCCCATTATTTCCTAATTTATGGCTATAAATCCTTTAAACTCAAGTTTTAAATGATGCGAAATTGCTTCCTCCTAGCAGAATAAAGGGAATTGTGCTAGAATTAAGCAATGGATAGCCAACCTGAGTCTCCACTCAGCAACACAGCCGAGGCTAAAGAACCCCCTGAGAAGAACCCACCAGACCCAAATCGCCCTTCAGCCCGGCATAGTTTAGCTTCAGACATTCCAATGGGCAGACGAAGACCCTCGTTTCTGTGCCTCAAAATTCCAGATAGAAGCGAAACCAGTTCTTCTGTGTCGGCTTCCTCCAGTTGGAGGGGCTCTTTGACCCATTTGGGGTTGCCCTTGTTCACCCTCACATCCCCCGATGGTGACACTGGACGAAAATTCAGTTTCGGTCTCGGTTTAAGAAGACATTCCCACAACGTTAGTTTTGTATGTGTGTGTGTGGATTTTCCCATGAAACTAGCCATATTAATTCAGGCTGCTGTTCCAGATTAACACAGATTAACATTTTGGTTTGATGTGAATTTTTCTGTTATTGCAGTTTAGTTTTGCATGCACTTTGCTACAGGGTGGCCCATTGAAAAGGATTTGCGGCTGTTTACGACTCTACTGATGAAATAACGAAAGTTCCACTAAAACTGCATTATATAGGGATTTTTAAATGGAGCTCTAAAGACTTTGTGGTAAATTGGGTTAGCCGAGTCATCTCCAACCCTACAGACTAAGCACGATTTTAATTGAATAGTCGTGGAAATTTTAGAAGTGTGAACTGGACTCCTATCGATGAAACACCCTGTATAATGCGGTTTAACTTAATATATTTATAATTGAATTAGACCCCGAAAGAGTCAGAATTAGGGGTGTGACCTTTACATTGGGCCATCCTGTATGTGGATTTTTTCATTGTTTGTCTTTAATCTTCAAAAACATATTCTACCGATAGTCATATATCAAGAAAAATGCCTTGATTTGTGAACTTGCAAATGTTTGTCCACACGTTTTCCTATGTTTGCTTAATAACTCGTCGCATAAACAAAAGCTCCTAGGTGCTAACTCAATTTGAATAGTGATAATCCCTGTGAATTAGCGATTTTTTTTCACATCTTTGTGTAAAGGTGACATAAAAAGTGTTGTAAGCTTTCTATTATGCATCGAACACACATTATTATGAAAAAGGTAATGTTTTTCTTATTATTTAGTGCCGAATGTTTTTGGTGTACTAACGCATGAAATCCTCTATAGCAGACCCTCCGATTGCCAAATTTTACGACTTAATGAACCTGTAAAATTTGCTTTTGTTAATGCAAAGCTACTTTGCACTGTTTTCTCTGTAGAAGCGATGTTTACATTGACATCTCTTCATTGAGCTTTTAACAGATTTTCCAAAAAAAATGTTATTGATTCAAATCAAACTGTAAAAGCACGAGGGGATTATCTGAAATTTGGGTTACAAAACTGTTTAATACTTTTATGGGTTTTAGTGCTTCAAGTTCATGAATTTAACTGAATTTTTAAAACCGTTTGACTTCAACAAGGCAAAACTTTGCAAATAACACTAAATTTTATTCTAGACGCTGCATAAGACAGAGTCCATGGTATCGCTATGCTTCCAGTCTCTGGTATCCTTCGTCAATAGTGATAATTTACCAGGACTTCAGTCCTTTCTGGAAACCAAACAACTTCAGATAGATGACAAAGACGAAGTATGTCTTTTTATACACAAGCACACGAAAGACCCGAAATATTTCAAACTAGCAAATATTTTATTTTTAGAATGGCACTACAGCTCTTATGGTGGCTGCTACCAAAGGGAAAGGAGCTTTCGTTAAAGAGTTGCTCGCTCACGGTGCAGATCCAAACGCCGAAGACAACGACAATTGGTCTGCCCTACTTTGCGCTTCAAAAGAAGGGCATTATGATATAGTTTTGCAACTTTTGGAGCACAATGCGGAAATTGATCATCGAGACATGGTAAGAATCTTAAGCACGATACTAAGTTGCTTCGTAAGTTAATCAGTAGGTAAATTACACTGCGTGCACTTATTAGGGGAGTTTGCCCCATGTTTAGTCCTGATCTATCACAGAACTATCTGATCTAACTCTCGCTACATTAATCTAAAAATTGTTCGCTATCCTTAGTCTCATTTTTTCATGAAAATGTTTGTTTTAGGGTGGATGGACGGCGCTTATGTGGGCAACATACAAAGGACACACGAATGTTGCCATTCACTTGCTGGATAGAGGGGCTGAAGTTAACTCACATGGAAACTTTCATATTTCGTCGCTATTGTGGGCTGCTGGCCGAGGATATTTAGAGGTTTGTTGGTTTTTTTCGAGTATCCCAGATATAAATTTATGCCACTCCAGATCACTAAGTCACTGATAAATCACGGAGCCAAAGTGAATGTTGGGGACAAATATGGAACTACTGCCCTCGTTTGGGCCAGTAGGAAGGGATATACGGAAATCGTTGAGCTGTTGCTCAAAGCCGGTGAGTTTTCCAAAGCTGTCCAAAAGATGGGTTTGATAATTGTGGTTGTCTCCAGGTGCTAACGTAGATACGGCCGGTATGTATTCGTGGACTCCTTTGATAGTGGCGACTTATGGGAATCATGTGGATGTTGTCAATGTTCTTCTTGAACACAAGCCCAATGTTAATGCTTTGGACAAGGATGGCTGCAGTCCTTTGACTATTGCTTGCAAGGAAGGATATTACGAAATTGCTAGCGCTCTTCTGACTGCAGGAGCCTATATCAATATCCAAGTCAGTTTTTCAAACAAGTCTAGAGAACTAATTTATAATTTTTTTTACCATTTAGGACAGAGTAGGAGATACAAATCTCATTCATGCAGTCAAGGGTGGACACAAAAACGTAGTGGAGGCTTTATTAAAAAAATACGCAGACGTAGACATAGTTGGCAAGGATCGAAAATCAGCTATCTATGTGGCTGTTGAGAAAGGGAACGTTAGTATAGTTAAATTGCTGATAAGTCACAATCCCGACTTAGAAAACGCCACTAAAGACGGAGATACACCTCTGCTGAAAGCTGTTAGGAATCGGTAAGTAGTTCCATTAGTTAACGGATTTCTCTAATTATTCATTCTTAACTAGTAACGCCGAGTTGGTGCAGTTGCTTCTGGAGAAAAAATCCAAAGTCTCGGCTACAGACAAGAAAGGGGATACCGTTCTGCATATTGCAATGAGAGCGAGATCCAAAGCGATAGTGGAAATTCTATTAAGAAACCCCAAACATAGTCAGTTATTGTATCGCCCGAACCGAGCAGGAGAAACACCATATAATATTGACATGAATCATCCTAAAACCATACTGGGTCAAATATTTGGAGCTAGTGAGTTAGAGAATTCACCTCCTGAATCCTACTAATTTTTCCTGTGATTTAGGACGATTAAACACCAATGAGGATAACGAGAATATGTTAGGCTACGATTTGTATAGTAGTGCATTGGCTGATATTTTGAGCGAACCTAGTTTATCAATGCCGATCACTGTTGGACTATATGCGAAATGGGGCAGTGGTAAAAGCTTTTTACTAAAAAAATTACGAGGTAAGTCCCACGAAACATCCAGCCTTGCATTCAAAATCTGTTTTAAATTCTTGTTTCAGACGAGATGAAAAACTTTGCAAAAGAGTGGGTTGACCCAGCGTTTCAATTTAGCACATTGTTGTTTTCAATAACATTACATCTATCAATCATTGTTGCCACCATTGTCTATATAGTTATAGAAACCACCACAAAAGACCAACAGCCTGAAATGTGGTCTTTTGGGGTTGGTGTTACATTTTTCTCATTGTGCTTTCTTTTCTTGTCCTTTATTTGGTTTGCCAGCAAAAGGTAAGTGGCAAATTCTTCTGTTGGTTGGTTGGTCTGAAATCTTCCATTTTTTTTAGCTATGATTGGGATTGGCCGTATAATTTTAATATTAAATTAACCAGGAAATTGACCAATCTCAAACTGGTATTGGAAATATTGTTTTGTCACCCACCAGGTGCTTCAACTCAAGATGGAATGTCTGCACAACCAATACGGTGTGATTTTTATGGTATATAATTAAAAAATTGCTAGTTTAATCGATGCGGCGTTTCAGATTCTATTTCACCGACCAAACCAGGGTGAGCAGTACCACCGGTGGTGAAAATTCGGTTGTTCAAATGATCGGATCTCTATATGATTCAATAGAAAGCCGCTATGGAACTCTATCCACTCGACTTTACAGAGCTTTCAAGCCAAAGCCTGGTAGGTAAATACTTATAGTTTAAATACAATTTATTATGGTACGTGTTTCAGTGAAATCGTCCTCGACATGGACCTGGAGGAAAATGTGTTGCGTGCCATATATTATTATATTTGAAGTCACCTTTTGCATGATAATTGTGGGAGTAAATGCATTAACCTACTACTTAAAGAGAATATATTCTGAGACATCGTAAGTTGGAGGAAACTTTTAATAGAACAATTTATTTATTGAAGATTTTTTTAGTGAGGATCTTAGCGTAGCCAAGCCTTCCCTCGAAATAATCCTCATAGGCGCAGCTTTGTTATTGGCAGTTGCTACTGTAGCTAATGCGTACACTTGGAGCAAACTGTTCATGTCCGTGCTGTTTTCCCAGAGGAGGCATTTGCAGAGGTCGATTACAAATTTGGATGTTTTGAAAAGCGAGGGACTTTTGCAAGCGTTACGGCAAGAGGTAAATAAGGACGTGGTGTTTGATTATTTTTTTTATTTATGATGATTTTTAGGTGAATCTCATGAAGGATATGGTAAAATGCTTGGACGGCCTCAGTGCAGAACAAACCAGATTAGTCATAATTGTTGATGGACTGGACAGCTGTGAGCAGGAGAAGGTTTTACTCATCCTAGATACGGTTCATATGCTCTTTTCCGACGCCAATTCACCTTTCATTGTCGTACTTGCAATTGATCCTCATGTAATTGCTAAGGTTAGTATTATTACGTTTCATTTATTTGCAGTAGTAACTTTTGATGATTTGCAAATGGGTTAGGATATAGTTTAATGTTGTTTAGTAGTTCCGATTAGTAGGTATTCAGAATAGACAGATTTATCATTTCCAAATATGTTTTTAATTTACATTTTGAAATGCTTAAAATGATATACTAACAAGTGCTTATCACGTTTTGCACAGGTTGCTTGGGACCAGGTTAGTGTAAATGTTGTGAATGAAAATTGACATTTTTCCTTTCCATGTTATGACTTGGTCATCTTATTTTCTTAGTAAAATTCCTGAAGGAAAAGTGTGGATTAATTTGCCAATGTTGTGCTACGTTGATACTCAGATTTCTCTCAATTGTCCGTACTCAATTTCCTCAGAATTTGTGGGTCTTTCAAGGTATATSCTTATAGCGTCGTTTGCCATTTATGCAAATTGATACTATTAAAAGACTCAGATGAAACCAACTTCCACTGTCGTTAGTAGGAAGGGAATAATAGTAAAATTTAAGTTTGATTYAGCGAGTAATGACGATTTTATTAATATTGAAAGGTAGCAGTAGTCAAACMTTGAAAAACTTTCAATATCTTGTTCAATATTCTGTATCAGAACAATGTTTAGTATCTTAGTAAAATATTTTCTTGTTGTCTATGTCTRTAAGCATGTCAGTAGCGAGKGTTTAAGAACACAAGTGCGAAATGGGTTTTAWCTTATAACTACTATTAATTGAACTAAGATTGACCTGTTGGTTCCAGACTTGGAAAATGACTAGTCGTTTTTAACCACACTGAATATTAGTGATTTTAAAGGGATAATTTTCCTCGGCTTTCGCGGAGCAATAATTTTTGGTGTCAGGAAAAAATATTGGTTCACTTAAGCCGCACCAAATTCTTATTCATTAGTGATTTTCTCTCYAATGACGTACATCATAGTAACACGTCGATCCAAAGCAGGAAAATTTAGTTAAGCCCAATTTTATACCGGAATCTACATTAATCAAGCAGAAGGCATTTTTGGACTACTTTACCAGTTTTGATCTGCAGAAGTTCCGGGCGAAATATAAATAAAAMCTAGATAATATTTTTGGATCAAAAACACCGATMTGTGGAAAAAAAATTGGATTAATCCTTCGACGTATAATGTTGCTCTGTAGGCGGTGGAAATGAACGCTCGACGACTTTTTACCGAAACCAACATAGGGGGTCACAGCTACTTAAACAACATGGTCCATCTACCATTCTACCTACAAAATTCAGGCCTCAGAAAAGTTAAAGTGGCTCAGCAAACTTCTGCAGCCCATAGGAAAGCTCAAGGAAGCGCCGGGGGATGGTCCGAAAACGATGAGAATTTAAATACATTCCTTGCTCGATCTGTAAGTGTTTATTTATGAAAACTAGACAGAATAAGGCCTAGTAACTGTAATATTGAAAATTATAATATTGATCTATCGTTTCTAGTCTTCTAATCGTCGGCTATCCAATGAGAATACGCTGGTTTCAGCTAGCAAGGAAAACTTAAAATATGCGGGCGCTAGAAAGGGATCGAGAAAGCTGAAACTCTCAGACTCAGTAGCTAGTTCCATTGGATCGAATCTCAATAGGATAGGTATTGTTCATAGATATGTAAATTCGTGTTGTAACATCGTTCATTTTTTGCCCAGGTGGAGCTCAAGATTTGACTAAGATGCTCCTCACAGATGACTATTTCAGTGACGTGAATCCGCGGTCAATGAGAAGACTGATGAATGTTGTATACGTTACAGGTATATTTGATGGCATCTAAATGTCCATAACTACTACAGGACATTATCGATTTCAGGTCGTTTGCTTAAGGCCTTCCAAATAGACTTTAACTGGTATCGATTAGCTTCGTGGATCAATATAACGGAACAGTGGCCGTTTAGGACTTCTTGGATCATTTATCACTATGACCTCTACGAGGATCAATTAGAGGATAGTACGCCTTTGAAGTCGATATATGATAAGTAAGTGTTTTAAACTGAACTTTTAATAACGAAACATTTATCTTATTGTGGACATTTTTTCCAGAATACGTCCACTTATTCCATCCATTAAAGATTCGGAACCGTTACTCGAATTGGATAGGGATGAAAAGAAATTTGATATATTCCTAACATTTCACAGATCTAGCTTATTGGTCAGCGACCTGAAAATATTCCTGCCCTTTACTATTAATCTAGATCCTTATTTAAAGAAAGTGATAAAAGGTACTGTAGTAATACTCTGAAACAGTGAGTGAGTGTTTCAAAATTCGATTTGCCACAGAAGAGACACAAGGCTTAGATGAGGATGGACTGTTTATGCCTGTTCGGCCGCAATATCCTACCCAGGCGCAGCATCCGATGCAAACTTGGACCAATCAAATGTCGGCAGATTGGGGAGCTTCTTCTAGGCCGTATATGAATTGTGTTAATATGCGTGAGAGGCGTCAGGTCAGTCAACATATTCGCCTTCGCCATATGGTCTAATATACTGTATTTTTCAGATTGTGAACTTATCAAAAGTAGGCCCTCCTCCTGGCTTACCATACGGACAAGTAGGCGCCATTCAATCACCTTGGGCCCAGTTTGATCCATTGGGAAGTGCCGCCAGTGTTTCCAGAGCTTCCTCGGGACTTCCACCTGTAACGCTTCTAGAAGTGAGTTTAAGTTACTTTAGAAGTAAAAACCCTTGCCGAACGAGCGGGATCTATTTCAGCATGAATCGATGAGTATGAGGCTTTCAACTTTAAATGTGGAAGGAGTTTGTAAGTTATTGTCTTCCCTGGAAGATCTGAATCAGACCGTCGTGCCGAAATACATTCGGCTAATCAAGGAGAACAACATCAATGGAAAAGTGTTGCTACATTGCGATTTGGATGACTTGAAGAAGGTAAATTGAACTGATACGAGTGTGTTGATGGCGTCTAATGGTTTATTTCAGTTATTGCAAATGTCTTTTGGAGACTGGGAAATGTTTAAAGTAACCCTGATTCAATTGAGAGAGTACGAGATAGCCAGTATATTTCAGCAGAACGATGTGCCTCAGACCGTTCCTCGAAAACCTGAAAGAAAAAGTGAGTAAGTGGAAAGTTACCTAATGTGTTTTGTGTTGATGAATAAAAAGTTTAATTTCATTCAGGAATGACGTTCATTTTCCGATATCTACATAGCAAAATAGTTGAAATACACTTTCCATCTATTGTCAACTTTATTTTTATGGGTTTCTTCATTTACAGCAAGCGTAAAAGGCAGTAACAGTGGAGTAGATAAAGCCGACAGCAAAATGCAAACTGAAGTTCCTAGAGAAAGAAAACAAAGTGTCATTGAGAAACAGGTACTAAATTTTGACTATTTAAAGCAAAAAGGTTTCTTTAATGCCACAGAGCTTGCACTAATTTAACGTCTTATTTCGCACGCTTAAAACCCGCAGTATCAGGTAAGCATGTAAGGATGCAAGAGCTGAATTCAACTACTACTGCGAGTTTTAGAAAGTACTGAAAAATATCTTACATTCAAATTTGCTTTTTTGCTATGTGCAGGTTACGCTTGAAGAGCAAATGATTTGCGGCGCATTGCAAACTCTGAACGAAGAAGCGTGCGAAGACGTATTTGAGGAAACTGAGGAGGCGCAAGTGATAATTGATCAAGAGCTACCACAAACCACAGTGATACCGCCCAGTCCTGATTGTCCTCAAGGTGAATGTCTTTTACAGTCAATTTATAAAAAAAACAGTAAAAAGGTTACGTATAAAGACGAGGTAAATGATACTAAGGGCAACAGTGGTCGTGCATTGCAAAGTCGATCGAATCCAGCTATTTACGTAATCGAAGGAGATTCATAAATATAATCGTTTAAAACTTCGTCTCAGACAATCCGTAGTTTCAGTAATAGAGAGATAAAAAAAATGTTTTTTGCTAGTCTCAAATAGTTTGCTTAATAATAGGCTAAAACCGTGACTAACAAAACTCTCAGATGGCTTATAAAGGGACTAGTAAGTAAACCCTCAGAGTTGATTAGGATTTTGTTAAAACATTCAGGAGAAGAATATCTAGATCATATCATCGTTAAGGTATGTGTTTTTTCGCTACTAACTGATATTAATATTGCACTGTGTTCATGCTTACGCACACCTTTTTACGCACACAACTCTAATCATAAATTAATTTGGCTACTGAATCTCTTTAATCATGTTTAAGTCATTAAAAACCGTGCGGAATGTATATACTAAGAATTAGAGAGGTGCCAGTATTAAACGTACAGTTATTGAATTCACAATACACATAATTTAGGCTAAGATTTTTTAAATTGGAGAGTTTGGAGATGGAAATGCCTCTGGCATGATGGAATGTTTGATTCTGGAACATCTTTGGTATGGATAACTTAAATAATGGATTAACTGGATTACTTTTAGTATTTAAAATAGTAGTTAAGATTTTTAGTTGTAGTTTTCTTTCTGTGTAAATCATAATAAAGTCTTGTTTTCAGTTGAGTTATTTATTTATTTATGTAAACGTGTTTAAACCATGTTGCTTTGTGACGTTTGCTGTTACTTGTGAATTCAGTAACTGACAGAGTTTTTTAAGTATTTGCATGTGGCTTGAATAGATTTTGCATGTTTTGGTCGGTTATTGTAGAGTGGGTGGACAGTAGTAGTTTGTGGCATGCGATTTGGGGCTTTTTCAGGGATGTGAAGTGTTAAATGGTCATTTTATGTTTGCGAAGAATTGGTAATTGGCCGGTAATTAAAAATTGCACGTAGCTGAATATTAGTAGCATTTGAAAAGAACAAGCCTGATGATAGATGATACCTGCCGTGTATGTAAAAATTGCTCTAATAGTTACCATCCATATTTTTAATTTATTATAAATAAGGTGATGATTTGATGGGGATCAAAGACCGGACACCCCAGAAGGTATAAGGCAGAAAAAGTTGGATTTTATAACAGCGTTGCATGGAATATGTTAGTGAGAACGATCGTTCATTTAATGTTAACGATTTGAGTGTCCAAATAAATGTGGCGTTTGGAAAAAATACAAACACTAACACAAGTGAACCGTGACTACTTGTGGCCCAATGTGGAGGCACTTGTTTCATTGTTGATGCACATTTTCCATTAATCATATCACTCTCACAATTCAAGTACATTACTTAGCTTTTCTACGCTTTCTTTGGCTCTATTTGTAGATAATCAAGTCGCTGCGCTCTCTCGTGGAAACCGATCTCGTACCAACAGTTCTTCAGGTATAGGTGAGACCGATTTCGTGCTTTTACAATCATCGCCCGTCGGTCACATGCATTGGCAGCCAGTCGGAATATCTATAGCTGGATATTCGGAAAGCCTGAGCGGTAATAGTTCTAGATGTAATTCTCAGCCACCCTCTCCAGGTAAGTAATTCATGGTACCCGGAAACTTAAAACTACTTCAGGGCAGTAAATGTAGTCTTGCCATTGTTTTCTGTCCCTCCATCCTTCGAGCGATGCTTGATTTTCTGTAACTAGAAACTGATAGTTTTCTTTGGTTTCCAGTACAAGAACGTCGCTACTCCAACGGCAATAAGACCACTATAAAATATGCTCAAGAAATTCCAAACAGAGGCAGGCATGTGGTGATTAAAACGGATTCAGATGCCCAAAGAGTCAGTATTTCCAGCAATAATTCCACGGTTGTTTATGAGAGCTCGAGCAAACAGCCAGATTGTCCTCAGCCGCGAATGGCCACTCAAAGGCCTAGTAGTTTGTCTTTAGGACAGAAAGAACCGAATCCACATAGGCTGGCTCTGAGAAATCGGTCTAAAAGTATCGACAATAGTAACCACTTCCGCAAAGATCGTTCCAGAGAGAGACTGTCTAGTAGAGAGCGCTTGCAACGTTTCAAGGAAAAGCTGCTGCAATCAAGTCCGGATTTGAATGAGACTAGCGATGAGAGCACTCCATTGGTCTCCGAAGTTTCCTCACCATCTAACAAGTCAGGGCAAAGCTCTGGCTCGAAAACCAGTTCAGATAGATGCCAAGCATCTCCAACGAATGCAACCCTCGATAGGGACATTAAAAAGCACACGAGAAGCGAACAAAATTTAACAGATTCGCCGGATTACTCCCCATTCCATCCCTCTATAACCGACTGTGATTATGATAGGGATTCGAATACACATGGAACGACCCACGCACTATCTCCAGACCGTTACCAGGCGCGATCCAGAACTTTGTCCGAAAACTCCGATAGTTCTTTGACGGCTTTCCTGCCCGATGGTCATACCAAAGACGATTTGACTAACAGCAATTACAGCTTGCAAAGTTTATCTTCGGGTTCCGGACACTTGTCTAGACAAAATGCGCTTGATTCCGAAGAGAATCTCACCGATGTGTATTGCAATCCATCTAGAATCAATTGAAATCAGTTTGGTTTCAATTGGGGTATTTTTTGAAGCGCAAATAGTAACTTCTTTTGAAAACGCCAGTCAATTGGCTGCGGTACTTAAATAAATGTGATGGTGAAGTAAGATTATTGTTAGCAATCCGAGCGAGTATTAGTTGTAGATTTAGCGATATTTGGCAAATGGTATCTAATAAAAAGGACAACTAGTTACAAACACACTTAATCTGTTTATTTGCTGTTGTCCTCCATATTCTGGGACAAAAATCGTTTCTAAGATTCAAACGCCATGATTCTTCTAGACTCTAGAGTAAAAGCTCCCTCTCATATCTCTAACGATAAAACAATGCATAAACTACTTACAGGAAAAACCATTTCAACATTTTCTAACAGAACCAAGTGTTTCTATCCATTTTTACAACTTGATGCTCGTTTGTAAGCGCAAGGATTTCTTCTTGTCAAATTTCTGGCTTATACAGGGGTCGAACGTATGGAGGCGGACTCGGCCTGCAATGAACTCCTCGAGCTAGTGTAGAATTAGGGCTATCACTGTGATTACAGCTGAGAAAAACGTTTAAGAAAATGTTTAGTGGTTTGAAAAAAAACACTGTTTTCGGTGCTGTCGAAGAGAGCAGGATAAAATGCCATTTGAAAAAAAGTAGAGAAAATAGGCTACGACTAACGAACTAACTATAAAGGCATGCAGTTAAACAACAAATCCGATATTTCAAAATTTCCATAGCTTTTTAACAGTGTGAATTTCTAGGTGTTGCATGTAACACGTTCCAGTCTAAATCTATTTTGTTCGCTTCCAGAGCCCAGATGCTGGCCGAAATAAGATAACTAGACAAACAAAATTGTTTTATTTTGGAAACATAATGTTTCGGTCTGTTAGAACCACTATTTATGTAAAAAATCATCCCTCTGATTGTCTTTGTCAATCCACGAGAGCCCGAGAGCTAACGCCCTTGCATAATAACGAAGAGTCAAAAAAAAGTTATTGATCAAAAAAAAATTACCTTAAAAGCAGGCCATCAGGGGAAACGTTTTGTTCTCTGCTTATTATCAGACTGGGATCGGTCTGATTCTTGGCTGCCAAAAATCGCTGAGGAGTCGATTGCTCCTCATAAGTTGCCAGTTCGTTGGAAATATTGATTCTATAACAAAAAATTTAAATTGGGCAACGGCAATAATTAAATTCAAAACAAAAAATCAATCTTCACATCTTAAGAACACTTACATATCGCTGGCAAAGTTTAAATTAAAATGCACAGTCAAAAAACTGTATTTTGGAATTTAAAATCGTTTCACATAGTTAAATGGGTTTGATTAAGCGCTTTTTGCTCGTTAATTCATTATTTTCATCACAAATTTCGTCCGATTACGAGTTTTTATTGCAAATCTGATTAGAGGGAATTCAATTTTGCGAATTAAGAAATGCAATATTAGGACAATTTTCTTAAAAAGTCACATAAGGCGTTTTGCATTTTTACGAAATTTCTAATTTTAATTTATACTAAATGCTGATAAATTCTATGGTTTTAAACTTAAAAACTTAAAAAAATATTGCTTATGTTTACTAGGAGATACTCTAAAATGTGACCTTTTCTGGTCATCAGACAAAACCTTTCTTATAAAATATGCATTTCTTGCTTGACAGCTAAAATATCAAAAAATAATCAAAACTAATACAATGAAAAATCATACAGATAGACTTTCTTTATAAACCGAGTCAATAAAGCTAATGTCAATCTAAATTCGGATAAAAAAACGAACAAAACTGGTCAATACATATTTTCGAAGTTACTTTAATCTGAGTTATTAAGTGGCCAATTTATCGCTCCTCGTCTGCCGATTCACAGCACAAATATTTCCTTCTCTTCGCTTCTTTGATACTCGCATTTTGTTCTCTTATAACAAAGCATTTTGTTTTGTTCCTTGATCAGTTTATTCAATTGGATTCTTGATAAGCACGTTGAAACACGATATCAAGTTTATTTTATCTTTATTTCCAAATATCGTTGTAAACATGGCGGATGTTTACGTTCATTTAATTTAAATTATATTCGATCTTGTCAAGAATGCGATAATAAATAACATATCCTATTATCGGGGGTAATTGCACAAGTGCTTCAAAATTACCGATAATTTTGCATGAAAGCTTGTTGTCTAAAAACTGCATGAGTTTATTTTCATAT